ACCACAAGCACCCAGCCTGGGAGACAAATGAAAAGAAGTGGGAGACAAATGACTAACAAAAAGAAGTGGGAGACAAATGAAAGGAAGTGGGAGACAAGCCGGCCGGGAATCATCCAGCACCAAGGCGACCATTCTTTAAAGCATTGAGAACCCCTAACAGTAAACTGTTTGGGGAATGATGACCACCTCCTCTGAAATCCGAGCACTAACAAAAATGGAGCTCGTGACACACCAACAGACATCCTGTATCACTTTATCACGTCAGAATCTTCGGGAGGGTGCCCAGGCACCCAAGAATTGAAGGCTTTCTGATGTGATAATATGTGATACACGTTCCGATGACCGGATAGATGCTTCCGGCGTGGAAGCAGTAGAGGCCCCAGCTTGCCCGTGCAGGATTGAGTGGTTTGGGATGTTTGAATGTTTGAGAGAAGGTTGAGGGAGATGAGCTTTCTTGGAGGACTCTATTTAGGGCGGAGGGTGTGTCAAGGGCCGCAAAGCGCTCCCAGCCAGGATCAGCAAGGGTTGGTGGGGAAATGTCCACAATTACATGACCGCAAGGCAGCTTGACACCCGGGAGAAAGTGCCAAGTGGATTCTTCCAAGCATCCAGATGTTGATATTAAAAAGTTGACCAATCTCAAAGGCAGCTTCAACAGCTGGCTTTCTGGCCATGTCTACCAAGGCTCAGGTTTCTGGAACTTCAACGCGGCCACATGGGCAGAAAGCACAGCACCTGGCAATGTTGGCACCCTGGTTGTTGTACCCACAACGCGTTACAACTGCCTGAATAGGAAGGAATGTCACAACTGACATTGCAGCATTCCATCTACAAAAGAACCGTTGGCAAGCGGGGAGCGACCATGATGCGGAAAAACATGTCCGCATGTTGTGCGGCTTCAGATATTCCACAACATGTCCGAGGGCCGACATTGTCTTGACATGTTCCAAATCAATGATACTATACCCAAATATAGTAAGCCTTTCAAGCAAAGAAAACCAAAACTGGTGGTCATTGACTCCTGATGTCGTTCCATTCCTTGAATATGTGCTTAGGGTACATATCCACTTTGCCACATCGAAGGTCAAACCTTTTACTTCGACGTCTGTACCATCTGAGGGGCCGAAGACACAAATACTTTGTGCATCTTGTGGCACAAGACTTGGTCGCCCCCGGGTACAAACCCTGGAGGCCACAAAAATGGAATGCCACACCGTACATGGTGCTCCGCAAGTCTCAAGCGTCTTTCTCCTCCTTCTACTGGCCATATCCTGATTTCTCCGCATGTGCGTCGCTGAGAAGATCATTCTCAAGGACTGCACGAAATCGGATCTTTCCACTTCGCACTTTTTCCAACGCCTCCTCAGCCTTGGAATGGGGGAACCGTTCGATGATCGGCTTGACTCCATGCTTGGCTGCAAACTCGAGCATGTCCCTACACTGCTGGGTAGAACCCACCGGAGAGCAGGAAATGCTGCGCCGTGTGAACATCATGGTCATCAAGTCCAAGGTGAGGGGCTTGTCAGGGATGCCCACAAAGTGCAGAGTGCCGTAGGGTGCCAACAAGTTGATGTATGGATGCACATCAAGTTCTCCTCCCGAGATGCACGAGATGATAAAATCGAAACTGCGGGCAGCTGCCTCCATGTCGTCCTTGCTTTCCGAGACTAAAAATCCGGTGGCTCCCAGTTGGAAGGCGAAGTCTTTCTTGGCTTCGTTCCGGGCAATCACCACCGTCTCAGCTCCCATTTTGGCTGCGAACTGCACCGCCAAGTGGCCCAGGCCTCCGGGGCCAATGACGCCCACCTTCTTGCCCTTGAGAGAGCCGGTGTTGCCTCCGATCGGGAAACATGTATAGAAGATTACAGAAGACTTAGACGTTTCATGGTGTTAGACTTGTTCGAAGATGTCAAGAAATGTGGGATGCCATGGCGGGTTTGACTTCATCTCAAGTTAAAACAAACGCTTCGAAACTGCACAACCTCACTCTTTGGTTTTCCTATTCTGACATCGAACATCTTCCAACCCAGTTTCAGAAAAAAACGGCAAGAGACCCCAAGCAGTGTGTGTGAGGTCTGTAAGCAGAAAGTCTAGAGATCTAGACGCATTGGGGTCCAGAGAGGTGATGGTGATGAAGGTGACCGCGGTGACGGTGGCGGTTGAATGAGTGAGTGAGTGAGTGAGTGAGTGAGTGAGTGTGAGTGAGTGAGTGTGAGTGAGTGAGTGAGTGTGAGTGAGTGAGTGAGTGAGTGTGAGTGAGTGTGAGTGAGTGTGAGTGAGTGTGAGTGAGTGTGAGTGTGAGTGAGTGTGAGTGAGTGTGAGTGAGTGTGAGTGAGTGTGAGTGAGTGTGAGTGAGTGTGAGTGAGTGAGTGAGTGAGTGGGTGAGTGAAGTGAGTGAGTGAGCGAGCGAGTGAGCGAGCGAGTGAGTGAGTGAGGGAGCGAGCGAGTGAGTGAGTGAGAGTGAGTGCGAGTGTGAGTGAGAGGCGAGTGTGGGTGAGTGAGAGTGAGATTGAGAGTGAGAGTGAGAGTGAGAGTCAGAGTGAAAGTGAGAGTGAGAGTGAGAGTGAGTGTGGGAGTGTGAGTGTAAGTGCGCGTGAGTGAGAGTGAAGGTGGGTGTGAGTGAGTGTGGGCGCGAGCGAGTGCGAGTGAGAGTGGGAGAGTGAGTGTGAGCACGAGTGTGAGTGGGAGTGAGTGTGGATGAGAATGAGTGTGAGTGAGAGTGAGTGTGAGTGTGAGTGCGAGTGTGAGTGAGAGTGGGAGAGTGTGTGAGTGCGAGTGAGAGTGAGTGTGAGTGTGGGTGAGGGTGAGAGTGTGTGGGAGAGTGAGCAACTGAGCGCACAAAGTACTGCACCTGCCACGAAATCTGCACTTCGAGGTTCACGAAGCGCTGTGCCTGCCACGAAATCTGCACTTCGAGGCTCACCAAGGGCTGTGCCTGCCACGAAATCTGCACATGGAGGTTCACAAAGTGCTGTGCCTGCTACGAAATCTGCACATGGAGGTTCACAAAGTGCTGTGCCTGCCACGAAATCTGCACTTGGAGGTTCACAAAGTGTTGTGCCTGCCACGAAATCTGCACTTCGAGGTTCACCAAGTGCTGTGCCTGCCACGAAATCTGCACTTCGAGGTTCACCAAGTGCTGCGCCTGCTACGAAATCTGCACTTCAAGGTTCATCAAGTGCTGGACCTGCCACGAAATCTGCACTTCGAGGTTCACCAAGTGCTGCACCTGCCACGAAATCTGCACATCGAGGGTCACAGAGTGCTGCGCCTGCCACGAAAGCTGCAAGCGAGCCACATGTCCAAAAGTCACGATTCACTGCACCTGTCACGAAATCTGAGCTCCTCGACGATCACCACCATGCCCACAAAGTGCTGCGCCTGCCACGACAACTGCACTTTGAAGCAAAACAGCTCCGATCCCTTGCACCTGTCACGAAAAGTCGACTTTGAAGACCACCATGCGCGAAAATGCGCACGGCACCACAACGAGAGCGCAGTCGCCAGAAGCACCCGCCGCAGACACTCAGATTCTGCGAGCCTGCGCAGTCGAAAAGCGCATGGACGATGTCGAGAGGCATGAATGTACTGTAAATGGCAACGAATTAGCCGGTCACGGCCGCGCGCTTCAGCGATCTAAGCATCAGCTGCTTTTCACCCACCGTAAGAACCCCTAGTGTGTCCACACTGTTTGGGGAAAATAAACATCCCAAGAACTCTCCAACTGCAAGAATGATGGCAAGCCTGGCCTGAAAATTCATTGAGCGGTGTGAAAGTGGTGACACCTGCACATAGCAGTGGAGCTGCCTCTGCCGGATCCAAACCTTCTGGGATTTTCAACACCTTCGAGGCTGGAGTTCGGATGTAGGACGCAAAACCACCGCGATGCTGAAACTCTCCGGTCTCATCGACCACCGTGTGGAAATAAGTGAACTTCAGCTCCGGGCACAAATTGTCGCGCTGCTGCGTGGTGCATTTGGGGCATTTTTCACAGCTCTGGGCCAGGCAACCGAGTCCCACCAAGTCGCCCTTCTGGAAGCCTGAGACTTTAGAACCATAGGACACCACCTCTCCCACAATTTCATGGCCAGGAATCAGAGGATATACGGAAAAGCCCCAAGCATTGTTGATCATGTGAATGTCGGTGGCGCAGATGCCGCACTTCGTGATCTTGATGGTGACGTCGTTCTCTCCTTCAGGCTTTAAGTCGTAGTTCCATACGGAGACCTTCTCGCCCGCTTCCATGGCCGCCATGGCTGGAACGTTCGGTGGGGCGGCCATTGCTCGCCTTCAGGACCACGAATGGAATGCCCGTGTTTGAGCTATCTGTCACAGCTGCCACAATGGTGCTTCCGTCATGTTCGCAAGAAGCCAAACACTTGCAACAGGCACGTACATCCGATTCGAAGCTGAAGAACGTCAGGTCATGGCAAATTATATCAAATGATGGTACCATTATATCAAGCTGTGACTTCTAAACCCTGCCAAAGGCGCCCAGTGCCAGAAACATCTGCATTGCCTAGGCAAGGACGCTACTAGGGGCTCCTGGCATCGCTACTAGGAACAAGGACGCTACTAGGGGCTCCTGGCATCGCTACTAGAAGCAAGGACGCTACTAGGGGCACCTGGCATCGCTACTAGGAACAAGAAGCTATTAGGAACAAGAATTAGAATTCAATTTGATCTAATTAGAATGGCAAAGCAGCCAAAACGCCCTGAGAGTCATCAGGCCGAAGCCATGCCCACTCCCCTTCGTCGGTGGGCTGCTCAACCAGATTCAATCCGTTATTGTATCCGATCTACCGAGGGATCCTACTACTTATATAAAGAACAAGCATCAGCTCATACAAGATCCGCTGAGGGAACATCACGAGGGTTGATCAGGGAATGAGCTAACATACAGAGGCTCTCAAAGACTTCTTCACCAAAGCGTGCAACAAGTCCCCTGGCTTTACGAAGCCGGCCCATTAAACTTCTCATGCACGTCGTTGTGTCATTGTGCGTACTTCCACACCCAAGGGCGAAATCGAAGCCATCACTTGCACATTGAGAGAAGCACCAAACTATATAACGGATAGATACTGAGAATATCATGCATGCAAGCATTGCAGAAGCGACTTCAATCAGATCAAATGAGAGTCACTCCCTGCAAATCAGGCTTCACACCCACTGGTTGCTGGTTGGCTTCACCCTAAACCCAGGTCGTCCACTGTTCTCCGAGCGTCGGAATGGGGCATCCCGCGCGCGCCCGCGGCCGTGTGGCCGGCGCGGGAGGCTGAACCAAGATTGGTTCTGGAAGCGAGGCGGCGAGTCTTCCCCGCTGAAGACTTCAATTCCGAGCGGCCACGACAGGGAATTCCAGGTAAGATATACACGTGGAGATACAATACAATCTCCCTCCAATCCAGCCTGCTTGTGTCGAAGGATCATGTCCAAATGAAATACCACAAATTACCGTACTGCTACCAAACTTCCGTAGCTACTACTGTTCCTTGGCATTTCAGGCATTCCAGATCATTCGCGCTCCTACTTGACGTCAAATCGAGAAACTGCAATTCTATGCTTGAAGGACATGAATGATCTTGCCTCATTTGCTAGATATGAAATATAGGAACCCAGTCTTCTCTTTCGCTCAAACCTTGTGTCTACACTACACGTCGACGTTGACTTCCTCCCTACTTGGTCAATGCTCCTCAAGCCCCACGCGTCAAACACCCCTTTTGCTCGTGACGGTCTCCGCGAATGACAGCCATCCCAGCGCGTCCAAGACCAGTAGGGCCTGGCTGACAGCCCCAAAACAAATGCTTCCTGGGACAGAAGGGAACCATATACAGAAGGAAACTGTTTTGCCACTCAGAAGCTGTTTTCTAGGTGTTTCCCCTTCAGTCCTTGAAACGATGGTCACCAGTTGATCTTTCACCATCGACAAAGCTAAGTTTGAAGATTACTGATCCACGACTGCCACAACTGCTTTTGGTTGTCCTAAGCTATGGCCTGGTGAACCAGCGACGCGCTTTTTCCGTCGTTTTCTTCCGAGTGCGGATGGGCGAAAATCGCCCAAGCTTGACGGTACGGCGAAGCAAGCATCGTTGAACGAAATTCCAACGGCAATACGGTAAAGTGTTGGCGTCTGTTTGGAGAGAAAACAGCAAGTTGAACCGCTGGATTTAGGTAGCACCAACATGTTGTTGCTCCAATTCGCTCCACCCACCCAGCGCTGTTGAATGCCAAACGTCTTCCTGGCAAGTACAATTCCGGCCAGTCCACTTTTTGAAAGAGGAAAATCCGGTCTATGCACGTGTTCCAACTGTAGGGTCTAATTATATAAGTCTTCATGCCAACTTGGACATTCGGATCTGAGACGAACCCAGCCGTTCCCGCGGCTTTTTCATGGCATCACGCCGGCCTTTGCGCAAGATGGTTCGTGGTGTCGTCGCCTCATCGTCATGGGACAAAGATCAACCCGATGGCTGGCCACTCCGAAGGTGAACTAGTGAAAAATTGGACAATCCCGTCAGGATTTATTTTCACCTACTCCTTGCCCGTCATTGATCTCAGGTCGTAGTCTGCAAGAAATAAGTGTTCATATCAGGATAAAGCTGGTTCTGATGCTGCTTCATGCTGCATTCTTTCTCATCACAAGCATGTTCACCCACAGGAATGTTCCATATCTGTCAAACAATATGACAAGGTACTTAATATGTTCACCTCCCCCAAAGAGATAAAAGAGTATTGAAAACCGTTTCAAGGCCACTATATGCCTACAATACATACGTCACCTCTCACCCTGCCCTGGGCGTCCCTGGCGGAAGTGCCCGGACTATCCGAAACGGTACGGGGACGCCGCTCTCGCCTGCGGAAACAAGGGAAACAAGGGGTGCCAGGGCACAAGCAAGAGAGAGAGAGAGAGAGTGGACAAGAGAAAAAGAAAGAAGTTTTTTGTTCTTTGGTGATTGGGATGGTGATGAGTTTGAGTCTTTTGTCTGGGATGTGTTCTCGTCGATGTTCCACCCGCAGTCGTTGAGATATATAATTCCATCTCAACTAACGTGTCAATCCGTGGACACGTGACGTAAGTCACACTCGCCTTGACTACAACCAGTGTCTTGTTTTGCTGCTATCCGCTACCAATTCACATACAGTACAGGATTAGCTGATTAGCCGTGAACAGAGGATGACGTGAGAATTTGCAGGTTGGAGAACTCATGTTGGAGGCCATTGCTATCAGGTTAGAGGCCATCGCTAGCAAGTTGGAGGCCATCCCCATTAAAGGTTGGAGAAATCATGTTGGAGGCCATTGCCATTGCTATCAGGTTAGAGGCCATCGCTAGTAAGTTGGAGGCCATCCCCATTAAAGATTGGAGAAATCATGTTGGAGGCCATTGCCATTGCTGGAGGCCATCGCTATTAAAGGTTGGAGAACTCATGTCTGACTTTGCAGACCTCACGAGCTTTCAATCAATGAAGCTTGGGTTCGTTGACCATCTGACTCGACTCACCATGTGACTCGACGCACATGCTCGAACTCGCCGTCTCCGTTGCTTGGGTGTGACGAAACAGAAAAAGGGGACTGTGAACCAGTACAATCAAGCAAGTGGTCAATGGGTCAAATAAAGCATGACAGACATCCGATGTTTTATTTGCTCAAACCCACCCGCTCGCTTGCGACACTTAGATTGGTCCAGCCCTGGCCTGGGCGAGTGCCCTTCGAGCTCTGCCCTGGCGATGCCCACAAACATAAGATGCTTAAGTTGACCATCTGACTATCCAAACAAGCAAAACGTGCGGAATCGTAGCTCTTCCTCTGTTGTAGGAGTTTCAAGGAGTCTCAAACGAGTTCTCTACTTGTGGGGCTTAAATGGCAAGGGTCAAGCTGAATTCTGAAAGTCGTGTACTGTCATCCCTGATGTTGAGCAAAAACCCGCTGACTAAAAACATGCTACTCGCCACCCACAAAAGGCACCAGTCTCGTATCATTAGGCAAGCAAAATGTCCTTTGGACCAAGAGCTGACTATCTGCCAACCAATGAAACTGCTTCTTTTTGGCGGTGAACCAATGGCATCCATCACAACTGATGAGAAACCGGCGGTCTTCTTTAGACCCACCGATCCCACCCCCTGTGCACCTAGCAGTTTGAGCGCGTTCCACATCTAGTTCTGTCCTTGGAGCATTGCCGTTGATGGACGAAGCTAAGTCGAAGCTAAGTCTTGATAGCCAAGGCACATGGAGGTTCCAGGAGGAGCCTCTAGTTCCTGCAACGGTTCTGCAGCAGTTGTACAGGGAGTCCAGTTTTTCAGTCTTGTGGGTTTCGGAGAAGTCATGAGGAACAAAAAGCACCTCTCAAAGCGATTCGGACCGTCTTCGCCGCAAGACTGCGGTGATGTTCGTGTGGTTTTCTTTCACTGACTTTGTACATCAAGCATGCGAATCAATGCGACGCACGCATCCCATCAAAACGTAGGACTTCTGACCCGTGCATCAAGAAGTGCATTGTGGAGCGAGGTTTGCTGTATTTTCTGGTTGGCAAATCTTTCGGGTTCACATCTGGTTGAGGGAGTGAAACAATGTGGTGGTCAGCATCTTCAAACGTATCTACCCTGCTCTGCTCATGATGCAATTAGCTAGGTCATGTCTAGAGACATATGAGTCATATGAGTTCATATAGTGGAGAGGCTAGCCAGGATGACTCCCTTTATATAAAACCATTCGCCGACGCTGTTTAAAGGTACCGCGTTTGGCTGTTTAGTGACGGAGTTGCTGCGAGTTTCTCAAAAGCTTCTCACACCTTTTTGCTGCAAAGATCAATTCTGAAAGCGTTCTTCTCATCAACAGAGATCGAAAGAGTGGCCGGGTTTGATCTGATCAAAACTTTTCACGCTCCCGGTCGTCCTGCCGAAACTCGAAAAAGAACTCACGTTCCCGTCCTGGTCCTCGGTGCTAAGTCGTGCTCGTTCTTCCTTGGTTCGTGCGTCCGGCTCGCGGAACAGCACCACAGAAATGAAAGCGATGCTATTTTAAGATCTTTTAAGTGTCTTAAAGAGATGGATCTCATTGTGTCAACTTCTGTCCCATCTCTCGGGAGGCCGTGGATGTTCGACGGATAATTACTAGCTGTGTTTTGAGAAGGCTTCGGGGTCTGTGGCCATCACTTCTAGGTTGGAGGCCATCGCTAGCAGTTTCGATTGGAGGCCATTCCTATTATTCATTTCCTGGGTCGGGCGGGCTGCTCCTGGCAGACCCTGTCGCACGTTCGGGATCGGGCTTGGTCGGGCTTCGTCCCCTTGACCATTTACAAAACAACGACAGTGAGCCCGAACCGCCAACAGCTACCAGGTTCAGAACCATATTCAAGCTATCAACGTTCCCCAAGCGATATACAAAGTGAAATG